GGAAAGTCCCCTGTGAAGAGCTTCTGTGCCTTCTCCCATTGAATCTGGGTCTGTTACCCCCTGGCACTTCACCAATCAGGAAGCTTTGCTGAACTTCAAATGTTTATTAGGGCTTCATTACAAAGCCATGGTTGCTTGGATCATTATCTATGTGCCTGAACTCAATCTCCAGCTCCTTGGTTTCCCTACCCAGGTCAAGTTGGCACCAATCCTCAACCTTTCGTGACTGGCTCCCATCCTGAGTCACCTTGTCTCCTAGCTAGTAACCTAGCATGGGGGGGGGGCGTTTAAGAAACTGTCAATAGCAAAGATACTCTTCATTCAAGATTTAGAATCTATCTCCAAGGAACCAGGAACAAAGGACAATAATGGTGCATAAAACATTGTGTGTCTTTCAAATGATGGTATATTAGTCATTATAAAATAATGATAATTTTAAAACAACCTTTTTAGGTTCCATGGTATGGCTAAGTTGACATATGAAGTGTTTTGAGCTCTCTTCTACATAAATTATTTTGGTTGCATAAAATATGTTTGTCTAAAAGATGATTGATTTTGTAATGAAACTGATACAAGTTCAAAGACTGATGTCATTATGTACTTGTTGTGTGACTCTGAATCTTGTGACTCTCCCAACCTCATTTTTCTTATTTGCAAAATAGCCATGGTTTTGTAATATTTTAAATGCCTTCAGCAGTGTCAAGTGTAAGTATCTGTATTATCATTTGAATTTTTCATGGTATTGTTGATTTAACATTTGCAGATTTTATCTTTGTAGGTGGAAAGGAATTGAGTTTTAATCCGAATTTGATATAGGAATGCCACAGTGTTTTTTTCTTAGGTCTTTGATACTATGTGTTACTCCATGTGTTGAATTTTAATAGTTTGTGCTTTTGCTTTCTACCATTACTAGAACGTTTTTTTGTGTGTGTGGTGCTGGGCATTGAATTCAGGGCCTTGCACATACTAGGCAAATATTGTACCTCTGATCTACATCCTCAATACATAATTAGAACTCTTGTGAAATGATACTTAGAATGAAATTTACTCTTACATGTATCTTAACTATGTGCACTGTTCAGAATAAGAAATATAGAAAAATATTACTGTTGGCTAAGAGAGACAATCTGCTGTTGATACATTGCTGCATTGTGTGGCTGTTTTTTTTTTTAATTTTTTTTGCATTGTAGGTGGACCTAATACCTTTATTTTATTTATTTATTTTTATGTGGTGCTGAGGATGGAACCCAGGGCCTCATATGTGTGAGGCAAGCACTCTGATATTGAGCCACAATCCCAGCCTGGGTGGCTGGTTTGATGAGAAATAATCATATGCACCTATATTCAGATTTACATGGATTATAGTATTGCCAACCTAAAGCAGTATTACAAGTAGTTCAACTGCTAAATGTAACTTTTTGTTGCTAGCATTACTATTTTTCTACATTATTCTATTTTGCAGTATATAATTTCTCTTTGATTTGTGAGAAACTTAACAAATAGTAAATTACTAGCCTGTTAAACTTTTGGAACTTTGAAACAAAAAATTGAGCTGTAAGCATATTATAGCATTTCCCTCCCTGATACTCTACTCTCTTAAGCACATGAGTTTAATGAGTAAATGGAATTAATCTCTCATTTTACTTGTTTTTGTACTTCTTTAAACGTTACTTATTTACTCATTTATGCTAAATTAATGAGAGCAGATATGGAGGTCTCTCTTTTTTTTTCTGCCATCAGCGAAAATACTTTAAGTACAAATATGTAAAGAGGATTTCCAAAATTTTTTAAAAAATATTTTTAGTTATAGTTGAACACAAAACATTTATTTTATTTATTTATTTTTTTATGTGGTGCTGAGAATCAAACCTAGTGCCTCACACGTGCTAGGCAAGTGCTCTACCACTGAGCCACAACCCCAGCCTGAGGATTTCCAAAATTTACAGAGCCTTTTTTAGGCCAGGGAATTTGATCATGTAAAATATGTAAATTAGTGTTTCCATTTCTCTAAGTTTTCTAGAGAAAAATAGGAAAATTGAACAAGCAAGAGTTAGCTTGAAAGTATAATTATTTCTTGGTCCTGAATATGTGATCATTATATGGAATTATAGTATTTAAATACATTGAACTCTATATCCTTCAATAGTAGGGTTTAGGGGAATTTGAATTATATTAGGAAGATGTCTTGGATATTCCAGAGATTCTTTTTCTATTTCTTTCTTTTTTTTTCTTTTGGTAGTGGCAGTCAAACCCAGGGCCTTGCACATGCTAGGGAGGCATTCTACCACTGAGTTACATCTCTAGACCTTTTTTATTTTGAGACAGGAGTCTTGCTAAATTGCCCAGGTTGATCTTGAACTTGTGATCCTCCTGCCTTAGACTCTTGAGTTAGCTGGGATATTAGTTATGTGCCACCATGCCTGTTTAGGTGACCTGAGTTCTAAAAGAGGGTGATAGTCACGTGGCCCATTTTGATTCCTACAGGAGTCTCTTCCAGCATATTTCTGATAGATGGCTTGCTAGTTCTGTGAGCAATTTTGAAAGACAGTGTGTTTGACTATTGAGCATCACTAGTTATTAAATCCTTCCTCATGTTTTAGTTCAAATCTACCTCTGCAACTTCTCATTGTTACTCGTCCCATTCATAGGAGCAATATACAGTAAGTTTTATTCTTCTTGACATCTGATGATATAGCTCTTTGCACCTTCAGACTCTGTTTTCAACTTCATCTTCCTTCAGTCATTCTTCTTATTACATGGTTAGTTTACTCTGCCAATATGCAGAATATTAAAAGTTCCTCTTAAAAATAAAAAAAAAAATCAAAATAAAAATTTTTTTTTCAGCAAAATTCTACCATTGTGCTGGGAAAATGCCTAATGAATGTCATAGACCCTTGTGAATTTTTGTTTCCATTTGCCTAGGGATTAATTGATGTTTTTTCACTGAAAAGCTTGTTTTCACTTTCATTAAATTCAATATTTATTGATCTTTATGAACTTTATTTCCCTTTGGTCTTTGGTTCTTTGTAGTAGTTTGTTCTAAGTTTATTTTATAGTTTCTGGAACCTAAAAGACTGAAGTGAGTAGCAGATGGTTGTTTTATTTTTGTCGTTTTTGCACATCAGCTTGATTTCTTCTATTCCTCAGTTACTGTTTTGATGCAGTTGTTTACATGCAGCTTTGTAGTGTTCCTGTTTCATTACATTTTACTTAAGTATTATTGCCAACAGCATTTTACAGTTTTTTAACTATCAAGTACAGATGTCCTTTTTATCTTTTTGCCATGATGAGAAGTATATAATTTTCTTCTAATCAACATAATGCAGTTCTAATCCTAAACTTTTTTAGAATTATAATAGTCAAGTTTTTTTAGAATTATAATTGTCAAGTTATTGTGAATACTTTGTACATGTAAGATATTTTACTATATACTTTGTTATGCAATATCTTGTTGTAACTAAATAAATTTAACAACACCTCTTTGAGTTAGATTTTTATTGCTTATTCCCATTTTACTGATGAGGAGTTTAAAACAAGAAGAGTAAATAATTATACAGTGGCATGCAGTTGCTAAATGGTAGACTCAGATCCAGGCAGTCTTAACTTGTAGCCCATATTCTTAGCCCCATGGAAGCAGTAATTATAGTTTGCTTTCTGATAAAAACATTGTGAGAGATCTGTCTTGCTGTTTTGACTGGTATAGCTAGCACCTTCTGTCCACATACAAGTTGATCTTTTTGTTTTAAAATATTTTATGAGTATTTTATTTATTTATTTATAAGTCTGTTTGATTTAAAGTACAGTGTCACCAGGGGCCATAAATGATTACCAGACATTTTTGTTTTATCTCAGCTTTTAGTGAGGATGATTCTGGGGGATTTATTGGGCTATTCATTCACCTATGAAGCTGGTAGAAATATATAGCATCTGGAACAGTAGATAACCCTAAAGTCTACACCTATAGTTGCTTGTGTAACTTATATGAAGACAGTTATGGCCAAGTATTACCTTTTACATATAATAATTTTACTGCCTTTAAAATTGACCAAAGATTTTCAAAGCATTCTGCAGGGTCTCAGAGATTCTTTAAAGGCATATTTAAGGTCAAAACTGTTTTATAGTAAGATATTAATTTTCTTTTTCATTTGCAGTCCCTCATATGGAACTTTCTAGAGACTGGGACATGATATCTCAACAGCGTGAAGACCAGAAGCAGATTTGAGAATTCAGCTTTCTTATATTAAACCAGTGGTTAAAGTTACAAAAATATAACTCACTAAACATTTTTATTTTTGAAAAAAATTTTTAAAAAATTTAAAAATATTTTTGTTAATGAGCTTATTACTTTAAGGCAAATGAATAAATCTTTGGAAATTCTTAATTTTAATTTCTAATATATTAAAAATCTATGGAGTATGCTTCATGTAAACAGAAGCCCTTTGAGGTTCTCAAAGAATGTAAAGAGACTGAGCTGGGTGTGGTGGTACACTCCTGTAATCCCAGCAATTTGGGAGGATACAGCAGGAGGCTCACAAGTTAAAAGCCAGCTTATTAAYTTAGTGAGGCCCTCAGCAACTTAGTAAGACTCTGTCTTAAAATAAAATATAAAGAGGGGAAGGGATGTGATTCACTGTTTAAGGGCCCCTGGGTCCAATTCCTGGTACCCACCACCTCACCCCCCCCCCAAAAAAAAAGACTAAAACTTTGAAAACCACTTGTTTAGTAGTTGTATCATATGATACTGAAGGAGATCTTGACCTAGAAATTTAAAAAAACAAGTGTATCAAAAGATTAAAAAACTAAATGAAGGGCTAGGAATATAGCTTAGTTAGTAGAGTGCTTACCTCACATTCCCAAGGCCCTGGGTTCAGTCCCCAGCACCATACACACACACACACACACACACACACACACACACCAAAACAAAACAAAAAATCCCCAAACCAAAATGAAGCATTTTTATTACTTACCAAATGTTTTTCTTTTTATTGTGTGAGCAGGAGACTGGAACCCACTGAACGACCTCTTCAGATCGTTTATGAGTACTTATCCAGGCTGGGATTTGAGGATCCTGTACGCATACAGGAGGAAGCTACAAATCCTGACCTTGGCTGTATGATTCGATTTTATGGTGGTAAGAGTTTATCAGTGACTTTGTGAATATCTTCACTACTTTTAAGTTGATTATTTATGCCTCCATCTGCCTTCAGCTTTTTAAAAATATTTTCTCAGAATCTATTTTTGACCTAGTTAACTAATGTAGTTAAAGACCATCAAGCTACAAGAAAAACAAAGGGTTAGGGAGTGAGGAAAGATTCTAAAGTATTAGCAGTAGTATCTTTCCTTTATATTTTTTGTTCTTTTATTTTGTTAATTTATTAGTATTTTTATACCTTTGCCAGAATTGTGATTGAATCATTCTTTTAGTATGAGTTATGTTTTCAAGCTCCTGGTAAAGTCTGTGAACTTTTGGATAGCTCAGTAGTGTTGAAAAGTAGTGATTATCATATATGACTTGTCATTTGATGAATGTCAAATTTGTATATGGTGAATTCATAGGTTTTAAATCATGGATTTTTTTTGGGGGGTGGGGTACTGTGAATTGAAATCAGGGGTACTCAACTACTGAGCCACATCCCCAGCCCTGTTTTGTATTTTACTTAGAGACAGGGTCTCACTGAGTAGCTTAGTGCCTCACCATTGCTGAGGCTGACTTTGAACTCAGTGATCTCCTGCCTCAGCTTCTGGAGTCACTGGGATTATAGGCGTGTGCCACCACTCCTGGCTTAAATTGTGGATTTTTAACTTGTCTTCTCTTCTGTACATTCCCTACCTGCCAGACTGTTTCTCCATTTTGTATATATAAACGTGTGTGTATCTTATTTTAATAAGTCTTAATTTTATTGGTAAATAAATATATATTTATAAATATAAATTTATATATATATATATATATATATATATATATATTTTAAAATACTGGAGATTAAACATTGGGATGCTTATCCACTGAGCCACATCCCCAGCCCTTTTAAAAAATTTTTATTTTGAGTCAGGCTCTTGCTAAGTTGCTTAGGACCTCACTAAGTTGCTGAGGCTAGTCTCAAACTTGCAACCTCCTGCCTCAGCCTCCTGAGTCATTGGAATTACAGGTGTGTACCACCTCACTTGGCTAAAATGAGATACTTTTAATTGAGCACTAACTGTATACCTTTATACTAATGAATTGTCTAAATTACTCATTATAGTCATGCTGTAGTAGCTACTAAACTGTTTTACAGATGAGAAAACTGAAGTAGAGTTTAACTATGCTCATGTCATATTATTAGCAGGTGACAGACCATTTGACCCATAACAGTTTTGAATTTATATGACTCACTTACCAAACAAGCCAGGATAGTTAATTTATTAATGTATATAATCATGTGCTAAGATTCTTTGCTCTCCCCCTCCTTTTTTGATTTAGTTTTTTCTGTATACTTATTTTTAGTTTTGATTGCTGTTACTGGGGATTGAACCCAGGGCCGCTTAACCACTGAGCCACATCCTCAGCCCTTTTTATTTGTTATTTTGAGACTAAATTGCTGAGGCTGGCTTTAAACTTGTGATCCTCTTGCCTCAGCCTCCTGAGCCTCTGGGATTACAGGCACATGCCATTGTGCCTAGCTCTGTATACTTTTTATTTATTTGTTTTTAGATGTTGATGGACCTTTATTTTATTTGCTTATTTATATGCAGTGCTGAGAATTGAACCCAGTGCCTCACAAGTGTGAAGCAAGTGCTGTACTGCTGAGCTACAACTGCAKCCCCTAGCTCTGTATAACTTTATAAAAAATATTTATTTTTTAGTTTTAGGTGGACACAATATCTTTATTTTGTTTTTATGTGGTGCTGAGAATCGAACCCAGTGCCTCACACATGCGAGGCGAGCGCACTACCACTTGAGCCACATCTCCAGCTCCCTAACTTTTTTTTTTCCCTAACTTTTTGATATAACTCTTAAACATATGATAAGTCAGTTTTATTTAATGCACTTCATATTTTACTTACAATTTTTGTCATAGTGCTGTTATATGTCATAGTTGATTAAAAGTTGGTTTAATTTTATTATATTACCATTAATTTCTGTCTTTGGGAATGGTCTGTGCTCTGTGGTCTTGCTTTTGTTTTGTTTTGTTTTTTTCCTTTTGCTTCTGTGTAATGATCATTCTGGCAAGATTTTTTTCCTTTTCTCATTTACCTTTGGCTGCAGCATATTAATATTGATCTGTAGCATATTAATTTTTTTTTCTTTTTGGTTAAATATTCTGATTTGCAGCTATCCTGTATCCAGCGTTTGAGAATTAAAAACCCAAGGAAGAAATAAGTTTTGAAGTTAATTCTGGAAATAAATCCATGTTAAGGATTATTATGATTAAAGTCTAAGTAATTTTTGTATTTCTTAATTCTTAGAGCATTATAAGGTCTTAAGCACTATAAGATCTAGGGCCTGGCTAAGTTGCTGAGGAAGTTATTTCTCTTATCACTTATGTAATATAATACTATGCAGTCCTAAAAAGATTGGGGTTGATTTTTTTCTTTAAACTGAAGTGGAGTAGTTTTCATTGTCAATTAAGTTAAAAAGAAAGGTACAGAAGAGTATATAGAATATGTTACTTATTATCTAACAAAGACAAGAAAATATACATTCACAGACATATATAGTTCTTAAATTCTTGAGTGATATGAGAGTGAATGAACAAATGAAGGAGTAAATTCCAGAAGAGGGAAATATAAATAAAATCTTTTGATAGTTTATGGGGCGAAATGGTTGCTAGGTTAAAGTTAAATCTGAGAGAATTCATTAAGACTAATTTGAGGAGTGTACCTACTTAATGTCATATAACTTGGTTGAAATAAAAATCAACTTGGAATAGTTATATGCTCATTATCTGTGATTGAACCTGAGTTCTTCATTATACATTTTTATTCTAGAATGGAAGTTAGGCCTTAACCAGTGGACTACTTTTTACTCATTGAGAGTTATTTTGCATTCAGTGTAGTGGTCAACAATTGGCTTTGGTGCCACTAGTTTTCTGATGAGATTATACTCATTTGAACATTTTAGCGGGACTAGAAGATTCATGAATTTCAATATGACTCACTCAGGGCTGTTACAGATCTCAGTCCTTGCCAGTTTCTTCTTATGTAGACTTCTTCATAGGGCTGTCTGTTTTCACAGCCTCCAGTGATGAGACATATACATATACCTAGGAATGCATGTGTACACATGGAGGACTCTGTCTTTTTGAAAAGTCACCAAGATGTGGACTACTTTGTTTATTAAGAAGTGAGTCACTAAATACAGCCCCACTATATAGAGGGAAAGGGGAATTAGACTCTTTTTTTTTTTTTTTTTGGTACCAGGGATTGAACCCAGGGGCACTTAACTACTGAGCAACATCCCCAGTCCCTTTTTGTATTTGATTTAGAAGCAGGGTCTCACTGAATTTCTTAGAGCCTTGCTAAGCTTATGAGGCCTTTGAATTTGGAATCTCCTGCCTCGGCCTCCTTAACCACTGTGTTTGGCTATTCTCTAACTTTTGAGTGAAAATATCAAAGAATGTGTGTGATCAAAGCTTAAAATCATTGCAAAAAGTATTCCTTCCCTTTCACCTTTCTCCTCATGTTTTTCAGTTCCTGAACCCAGAGAAAACCCGCAGTTAATAAAAGGAAAAATGTTTTTGAAGTATTCTTTTTGAAGCAAATAGCTTAGTAATCAGCTTTAAATGTTTTGTGTGGAGACTCTTGATGAGTCAGCTTAGTTAGAATACAGTGTTAATGAGGCCAAGGTCGTGAGGGCCTAAGTTCAAACTCATTTATATTGTGTTCTCTGGTAATAAAAAGTACTCAGTATCCCAGGCAGCCTTTAGGCAAATGCCAGTTATCAGTTGGACTTAAGAGGGAGTTCTGGGGCAGAAGGACATAGAGTGGTACTCCGTGAAATTCATAACAGAAAGTCACTTAGAGACAGGGTCTCACTGAGTTGCTTAGCTCCTCGCTTTTTGCTGAGGCTGGCTTTGAACTTGTGATCCTCCTGTCTCAGCCCCCTGAGCTGCTGTGATTACAGGAGTGTGCCACAGTGCCTGGCCCTGCCTGAATGTTTCTTTACCATCTTCTCTGCACACATTGTTTAAACAGTTTTGTTCAAAGAGTATAAATACAAAGAAGGCAGACACAGAAGAATCACATAGTATCTTTCCATATGTTTAAAGTTCAAAACCAGGTAAATCTCAGCCTTTTTGTTGAGAGATGTGTGGTAGTACTACTGTCTTTCTGTCCAAATCTGTTCTCTCTTTCTTCCTTGGTAACAGAATTGTAGTTGGCATATTATTGCCTAGCTCCACCTCATCTCCCAGCCTGTCTCCAATTAGTTGTGCACCTGTGACAACATTTTCTTCATGGCATGGAGTGGAATTGATGAGTGCCACTTCTGTAGCTGATCTCTAAAACTTCCAATGAGTGCTTCTCAGTGTTCTTTTCTGGGGGCTAGGATGGCAGTGATTCAAGTAGTATTTGAAATAGTGTTGAAACTGGCAGAGCCACCATCAACCTGAGTTTCTAAATGACAGTATTGACTTCTGGTTATTTAGAATTCCCAACTGGACAGAAATAACTGCCTGTTGTGTTTGAGCCATCATATATTATTTGCCATAGCAATTTAATATAATGTCATAATATAGGTTGTATACACAAAGACAAAAAACATAAAGAGAGCAAAGAAAGGATTATTATAAAAGTCAGGGGATTAGCTAGTTTCTAGGGGGGGGAAGACATTATTCTTACAAGTAGAATTTTTGAGTCATTACATACCCAAATTTAGTCGAAATTTTAAATTTCGACTAAATATTCCAAATCATACAGCTAGGCAATGCCAGTATGTACTTTTTGGCATTCTCATTTGAGAGTACTCATTTCCCTTTGCCAATATCAGGTATCATTGTTAAAATTAGTCTTTGCCCCAAATTGCAAAATATACTCTCTCATGTTGATTTGTATATTTTAAACTTCTTTGTTAAAATGTAGGGGTAATATGGAAAATGCCCTACCACCTGAATGCAATTACTTTTTTTATTATATATTTCTTAGTCTTATTTTATGTGCATATTTTCACATTTAGAATTATTGTGTCCATACATTTTCCCCCCTTTTAATACATTGTGTTTGCTGAGTGTAGTGTCACACATTTATAATCCTAGCTACTTGAAAGATTGAGGTAGGAGGATTGCAAGTTCCAGGCTGATCTGTTTCAAAATAAAATAAGGAAAAAGGGCTGGGGATGTAGCTTAGTGGTAGAGCACCTGCTTAGCATGCATAAGGCCCTGAAGTTCAATCCCCAGCACCCCAAAACAAACTAAAAATAATTATTCAAGTAAAATATAAATATAATATTGCTATCTGTAGCATTTTAATTTCTTATAATCACCTTCCAAACCCACTAACTGCTTTGTAGGTAACTACTACTATTGATTTGACATGTATCACTTCAGGATTTTCTAACTCTTTTTCCTATATAATATACATTTATAGAAATGCATGAATCTTATTTACATAGATGTTGTCAGTTGGGTTTGGTGCTTTTTTTGACCCTACTACCTAGGTTAGAAATCTTATCAGCATTTAGGTTTCTTGCTTATTTCTTTAAGTTACATTGTATTGAATATAGTGAATGTATGTAAATGGCCTATGTAACCATTTTCTTAACCATAAGAAATTTACATTGTTTCCAGGTGTTTGGCTGCTAAAAACAGCATTATAGTAAAATGTCTCTTTGTGTACCCAACCCAGCGGATCTCTATACATGAAATTGTTGGGTCATAGAATGTTCACACTTAAAAATCTTAGTAGTTATTCCTGCAAAACATTTTTTTATCTCATTAGTGTATCAGAGTGCCCTTTGTTTACAGTATAACCTTTCAGTATTATTACACTATTAAGTTTTTATTAATCTGATGGAGGAAATGATCTCATTGTTTTCATGATTACTTAGTGTGATTGAGAATTAATTTATATTTTTATTGAGTCTTTATTTTTGTTATTCTATGCATATTTCTTTTTATCAAGTTGAATTAAAGGACTTTTGTATATCTTCTGAATATACATCTTTTGGATTCTGTATTTGGGACTGAATTTTCTCCAGCCTGTAATTCTTAGTTTGGCTTACTAGTTTTTATTATGTAAACATTTAAAATTTTTATTTAGTCATACTTTTTTTCTTGTGCATTTACATTCCATCACTGTCCTAGGTCATAAACATATTCTATGTTTTATTAAGTACTTTTATATTATTAAAATATTGAGGTAGGGATATAACTACTTTTTTCTCTATGGATAGCCAGTTGTGTCAATAGATTTGTAGAACAAGAGACTTAGGTGGAATGATCAGCAAGAGTGTTGGTTATGTGAAAAAGGGAGTTGAGGAAGAGAACCCAAAAGTTGAAGCTGACTCTGATTTTAAGAGAATAGAACTTGAGTTTTAAGAAGCATTTGGTTTGCAGGGATGGTCATGACTTGATTTAGGGATTTTTTTTTTGTTTTTTTAGTTGTAGATGGACACAATACCTTTATTTAATTTATTTTTTTATGTGGTGCTGAGGATAGAATCCAGTTCCTCACACATGCAGGTGAGCACTCCACCACTAATCCACAATCCCAGCCCCGATTTAGGGATATTTAATTTAAGCAGTGGTAAACACCCAGTTGGAAATGTCTGGCAGAGAGCTGGAAATGTGGAACTAGTAGGAATTATAGATCTGGAAGAACCAAACTTCCAGAGGAAGGTGAAATTTACACTAGGTGAGAGGGCTGGCTTAGAATAGGAGAAATGGCTGTTTGATGAATCCAGTGTTGACATATAAAGTTTTATTGAGTAATATAATTTTGAGTCTTTGAAGTAATCTAGTCCATTTCCTCATATTACACATGAGGAAACACATGGTTAAGTGGGCAAAGTGATGCCCAAACTTACATAATAAGTTGTATGGAGCTATCTGGAGTACAACTTGGTTGTCCCTACTCCAGGCTTACAGTTTGTACCAGCTGGTACTCCTGCTCCTCCCCCCATTTCTGTGTATGGTATTTGTCTGTTTCTGGTACATATGTGTACCAAGAACTTCATATCTCTTCTGTCCCTGTGTGCTGTTTTGGTTACTGTATATCAGTCCTATAAAGACTTCTGATGGGAAAGGGTGCTTACAGAAAGAGAAACTCATGCATACTTATGTCGCCTTCTGCCACTGTGATTGGAACATTTGATCAAAATATCAACCATAAGCTTTTCCTCATGAGGGACAAAGATGGAAGATTATGTACAGAACTAGAGAACCCCCATAAATTCTTACTTTCTTCCTTCTAGGATAGAATGAGATCAGTAGTGGYTGTCATTTAGTCCATACTCTTTTGTGCCTAAAATTATTATTACCTTATATGATCTTTTTTACAAGAATCTTTTGAAGGTATGGGATTAATAAAATCCAAACTTACATGATAAAATCTAAACAATATAAATGAATAAAGTAAGGCTCAGTGATACATCAAAGAAACAAAGTGTGTACAGAACCAGGATTTAAACTCAAGTATATCTCATTCTAAAGTCTGTGATCTTAATTCCTCTGCCTTGCTACCATTCTCTGTACATTTGAGAGATGGCTATTTAAATAGGAGGTAACAATGACATCTGACTTGTTTTATAGTCTAAAATTTACTATATTTCCACTGGGTAAAGTTCAAGATGGGTATTATTTAGGACTGAGATCTTATTTTGTAATACCTATATTGCTTGGTTACTTGTATCTAAAAATATGGTTGTTGAATATTGGCACACAATTTCTTTTTCCTTTTCATCAGTATACTGCTTCAGTGGTGGATACTGAACTATATTGCTTTCTTTATAGAGAAACCATGCCAGATGGATCATCTGGATCGAATCCTACTGTCTGGCATCTATAATGTACGCAAGGGAAAGACCCAGCTGCATAAGTGGGCTGAACGCCTAGTTGTTCTCTGTGGAACCTGCCTTATTGTTTCCTCAGTGAAGGATTGTCAAACTGGAAAGATGCACATTTTGCCTCTGGTTGGGGGGAAGGTAAGAATCACAAAAATGTATTTTTTTTAATATTTATTTTTTAGTTGTACACAATACCTTTATTTTGTTTATTTATTTTTATGTGGTGCTGAGGATCGAACCCACGTGTTAGCATGTGCTAGGTGAGCGCTCTACCGCTGAGCCACAACCCCAACCCACAAAGAAATATTGTTACTGTTCATTTAATCATTAAGAAAATTAAGGACTGAGGATGTTGTCTATGGTAGAGAGCTTGCCTACCATGGGTAAAGCCCTAGATTCAGTTCTCAGCAGTGTGAAAGAGAAAGGGAGAGAGAGAAAGGAAAGAATAAATTGAGAAAATGTCACATTCTGATCTAAGTACATGGCAATATAGATATCAAAACATGTATTAGAAAGTTAAATATGTGAAAAGACATAGCTGGGCTTAAAAATGTAGTGTAGAAATATAAAGTAGTCAGTGTGAATCTGTGGGCCTGCTGGGCTCTGGGTCTGAAAGGTTGGGGTAGCCTAGAAAGTACCTAGGTCTAAAAGTTCCCTGCTCATGCTGGGAGATCTGTGCCAAGTTTATAGCTTAAAACTAGGGGCTGAGTTTGTTTTCTTTGTTTATGAAAAAAAGCTAAAAATGAAATGTGCTGTTAACTATCGACTAGACTAAGGCTTACTTCTAGTTGTGGTCCTAAAAAGATAGGAGGACCCAGTTATATGGCCTGTGACTAGGAAGTGAACCAGGTCCCTACTGACTCAATGAAGAAATTGACCAGAAAGCAGGAACCCACCTCGCCAATTTGAGACCTTGTTTTGATCTTGGAGGCTGAAGGACAGTGAAGAAAGTAAGTAAAATTTCTTGACAGGAAAGAGGCAAGTAAGAACAGGTCAGGAATTTATAAAAAGCTGGGGAGAGAGTGAGACAGAGGAAGATAAAATGCTAACCTCTCATTTAAAGCACCTACACTCCAAAGTCCAAAAAAACACCTACAAGTTTTATATTAGGGAAGATATCCACAAATGTAGTAATCAGAAGATACTTCAGATCAAAATGGAAATAAAGGAACATCCTGAAAAGACTGGAAAATAAATGTATAGAATTTTCTGGGACAGAATAGGAAAACAAAAATTTCTGAAGTAAGAATATGCAGCTATGAAGGAGTCAGTAAAAATAATGGAAATGAAAAGACAGTTATTGAAATTTAAAACTTAATAGGATAAACCCAGATAAGAAATTCACAGAGAGATTTGATTAATAGTAACATAATTTGTCTTCATTCTCTCTCTTTTTGGTACCAGGGATTGAACTCAGGGGTGTTGACCACTGAGCCACATCCCCAACCCTGTTTTGTATTTTATTTAGAGACAGGGTTCCACTGAGTTGCTTAGCAGCGCCTGGCAGTTGCTGAGGCTGGCTTTGAACTCCCAATCCTCCTTCCCCGGCCTCCCGAGATTACAGGCGTGCACCATCATGCCCCGCTGTCTTCATTCTCTCTTTTATTTACCAGTAGAACAGAATTTTATTCAGGTTGGCAGTATGCCCAGCATCAAAACCAGTATCTCCCAATCTCTTTTGTAGTTAGGGATGGCTAATGAGATATAAACAAAAGTTTCTAGGTGGGATTATTGGGAAAGCCCTTTAAGATGGGACTGACGCGGATGCTGTGACTCTTTGCCCTATCCTACCTTCCTTTGTGGCACATATTCTCTCAGGGTTGGAGGTGTGGTGGTTGTGGTGACTATTAGTTGGCAAGCGGATGCTGTGTGTGGCTATATAGAAAGTAGAAGGCAGCTGAGTCCTCGATAGCATTATAGAGCTACTGCACCAATCCCTGACTGACTCCCCCAATTTTTTTTTTAAGCCTCTGTTTTATTGCTGGATGTAATTAACTGATATACTAAGGAATTTCACAAACAACAACAACAACAACAACAACAAAGACCTTAAGAGAGGCTCTGGTATACATCTAATAGGAGTTCCAGAGAAGAGAGCAGAAAGAAGGGAGAAGTGATAGCTGAGAAAATAATGGTTGCAAATTTTTTATCTTTATTTTTTTGAGAGAGAGAGAGAGAGAGAGAATTTTTTTAATATTTATTTTTTAGTTTTCTGTGGATACAACATCTTTATTTTATTTTTATGTGGTGCTGAGGATTGAACCCAGCGTCCTGTGCATGCCAGGTGAGCGTGCTACCGCTTGAGCCATATCCCCAGTCCCTGCAAAAATTTTTTGAAATTTTCTTTTTTGTAGTACTTGTTATTGAACCCAGGGCCTTATGAATGCTAGGCAAGTGCTCTACCACTGAGCTACATTCTCTGCTCTCTTTATTTTTTATTTTGAGACAGCGTCTTGTTGAGTTGCCCAGGCTGGCCTCAAACTTGTAATCCTCTTGTCTCAGCTCTCTAGTCACTGGGATCAGAGGTGTATGCCACTGTGCCCAATGTGGTTGCAAATTTTCTTGAAACAAAAACAAACATGAGTATTCAGATTAAAAGTATACTGAATATAATAAGTAGGATACATAAAAATAAATCTTCACTTAGATACATTGCACAACATAATGGATAGAAGCAAGTCAAAATCTTCCAGAAAAAGCTGGGCTCATTACTCACCTATAGTCTCAGTTACTGAGGAGACTGAGGTGGAAGGATCATTTGAACCCAGGAATTTGAGGCCATCCTGGACAACATAGCAAAACCCTATCTTAAAACAAGCAAATTCCAAAAGCTTTTGCTGAGAAAAGGGTTGCTTGCAAGGAAATGACAGACTGACAAAAGCTGTCTTATCAAAAGTAGATACTGGATGGGGCTGGGGATGTGGCTCAAGCGGTAGCTTGCCTGGCATGTGTGCAGCCCGGGTTCAATCCTCAGCACCACATACAAAGATGTTGTGTCCGCCGAAAACTAAAAAATAAGTATTAAAAAAAAAATCCCCTCTCTCTCTCTCTCTCTCTCTCTCTCTCTCCCTCTCTCCTCTCTCACTCTCTCTTTAAAAAAAATTAATAAATAAAATACTACAGTTTGCTGTTTGTAAGATGCATACATGGGCTGGATTGTGGCTAGAGTGCTTACCACCCACTCATGGTCCACTGAGTTCAATCCTCAGCCCCACATAAAACAAATAAAAATAAAGATATTGTGTCCAACTGCAACTAAACAATTAAAAAAAAAGAGAGAGATACTTAATGCTTACTCTGAAGAGGTTGAAAGTGAAGTGATGGGAAAATATTTATTGGTCAAATAGAAAGCAAAAGAAAATTAGTGTGGGGGGTTGAGTGCTCGCTCACCATGCGTGAAGCACTGGGTTCCATCCCCAGCACCACATACAAATAAAATAAAGATATTGTGTCCACCTATAACTTAAAAAGTAAATTAAAAAAAAGAAAATTAGTATGGTTATATGTTATATTAATGACATATGAAACTTATTTATGAGTATGCAACAAAGAGCCTTTTATCCAGAATATATAAAAATCTTATGCAATTAAGTAGTAAAAAGAATAATAACCCACTAATGAATGGGCAAAAATGATTTGAACAGATCCTTTACCAAAGAAGATATATTGATAATTAACACCTGAAAAAAAGATCCTCAACATATTAGTCATTAGAGAAATGAAAATGAAAACCACAGTGAGATGCTGTATACCTCTAAAATGGCCAAACTTAAAAGACTGATGAACACCAAGTTTGGCAAAGACATGGAGCATCTGGGACATTTATACATCACTGGTGGAAATAAAATTACTTTGGAAAGAGCTTGTTCCTTTCTTGTAAAATTAAACATAAACTTTTCAGATGACCCAACATTCTACTCCTGTTATTTGCCCAAGAGAAATGAATGTGTGTCCTTATAAAGACTTGTAAGTGAAGTTCATAGCAGCTTTACTTAAAATAGCCAAAAATAGAACCAACCCAAGTTGTTTTTAGCTGGTGAATTGATAGATAAATGTGGTATATCCATACAATGGAATTCTACTCAGCAGTAAAAAGGAGTGAGCTACTGACACTCAAGGACAGAGATGAATCTGGAAAGCATTATTCTAAGTGGAAAAAGCCAGACACAAAAGTTCATTTTTCATATGACTCCATTTATATGACATTCTGAAAAAGGTACAAAACTATAGTGAATGAAAATAGACCAGTGATTATAGGGAAGGGATTGGCAAAGGGCACAAGGGAAATTTGGGGGGTCATGGGGTTATATGCTATTATAAAAACTCATCTGACAGTTCACTTAGAATCGGTGAATTAAAAAATAAATCAGTGGATTTTATTTTAGGTAAATTACATTTTAGTAAAATAGAATCCCCCAAAAGATTTGAGTAAATAAAACATTTGTAGGGATAAAGAGACTAACCAAAAAAGGACGAAAGGAACATTTTACTGTATTTACTAATTCCAAGGTTGTACATATATAACAATATGGTCTAATATAACACAGAATATGAATATACAGAGACACTGACAAATTAATTTGTAGTGGGAGATTTATCAACCTTTCCCACTATTTGACATTAATTGATTCTATGTACTATGTGAAACATCCCATAATAAAACATTTGATTATTCTAGAAAATGATCTATTCTTCATTTCAGTAAGGATCCTTTGTTTTGACACAGACTTACTCAATGGCAGTGATTTATTAGTAATGAAAAATGGTTATGTTGTGATTATCACAATTGAACATTAGGAAAATTTTTTAATTTCAGTGAGCCTTTTTAATATGATTCTTTTTTGTTCAGAGTGTTTTATGTTTCTGCCATTTGGTTCAGTCTTTAGTTGGCACCAGAACCCTAATGGTTTACAAGTATAACTTGTAAATTCCCAGCTTATTTGTCAAAATTTAGTAGCTATGGCATATTAAAGTAAGATGCCAGACAAGACATAAATGGTTCTGTAACTATTAAAAAAAACAAAACCTATATCCTCATCAAAATTGTATAGGTTGGGTTTTTGGAGATTGGGAGGGAGTTTTTTACATAGCTGCTTTTGTGCCTTGAATTCTTATCACTATCCCAAATAGGAATGAGGAGAGGTTCTTGCCTTTTCTCAAGCTGGGGACTCGAGAGCTTGATAAAGGTCTTCTGCAGTAAGAGGACATAGTTTACTGGTGTCCTGCCTCCCGACTTTGAAGTGTTGAGGACAAGAGTTATGCTGCATAGCTACTGACAGAGCAAAAACACAGCTAATGTGTTGTGATCATTGTGTATTTCTTGAGTTAAAGAAGCAGGGAAGCTGGGAAGAGGAGAGGGAGAAGGAGAGAACAGAAGAGGAGGTGAGAGAGATAAAGAGAGTGCATGAGAGAGCAAGCAGTAGCACAGGGCACACAGGCTTTCTCATAGATGCTTAGAATTTTATCACTCCAATTTTTATAACCAAGAAACCCTTCATTCCTTAGCCATTGCCCCTCAATTCCTTCCCTAGCCCTATGCAAATATGAATCTACTTCCTGTCTTTATAGATTTGCCAATTCTGGACATTGCATATGAATGGAATAAAAAAATTGTGGCTCTTTGTGATTGGCCTTGTTCACTTAAGATGTTGTTTTTAAAGTTCATTGGTACAGTACATGTATCAATATTTGTCCTGTTTATGGCCAAATGATATTCTGTTTTATGGATAATGCCACTTGTGTTTATATATTCACCCATTGATGGACATTTGGATTGTTTCTACTTTTTGGCTATTATGAATAATGCTGACATGAACATTCATATACAAGTTGTTCTCTTGGACATCAATGTAAAAATGGAATTGCTTGGTTTTATAATGACCTTGTGTTTAATCTTTAGAGGAACTGCCAGAAGGTTTTCCAAAGCAGCTTCACCATTTTACATTCCCATTAGTAGTATAGAAGGATTCCAGTTTCTCCACATCCTTACCAATATTTACACAACATGTGTTTTTAATTTTAACTATCCCAGTGGATATGAATTGGTATCTCATTTTATATTTCCCTGGCAGCTAATGATGTTGATTATCATTTCATGTACTTATTGGTGATTTTATAGATCTTTGGAGAAATGTCTATTCAGACATTTTTTTGCCTTTTTTAAAAAATTGGGCTTGTTATTGCCTTTTGCTTTTTGACCAGGATTTCTTTTTAGTGGTTCTGGTTTTCTCCCCTCCTCTTCTTCAGATAGAAGAAGTGAAACGCCGGCAGCATTCCCTTGCATTCAGCTCAGCTGGAGCCCAAGCTCAGACCTATCATGTCAGCTTTGAGTCTTTGGCTGAGTACCAGAGATGGCAACGGCAAGCATCTAAGGTGATAAACTCTCAAACATCCTGATGTGAAGATAAGAATGTAGAAGTCCCTTAGAAGTGTATTTTGAAACTTATCTTAGTTCTAAGACAGCAAATTATAACTCTTAAAATTTTATTTCTTAATATATATTGAATAAAATAATGGAATCACACTAGATCCTTAACTTATTATTTATGCCCAGTATAAAAATGCTATCAAAAGTGTTTTCAAGTGCATTTACCTCTGTACCATGTCTGCAAGGCAGGCCTTGGAAGAAATTATGACATAACGAGATTTGACCCAAGAAGGAATTAAGAAATGATGAGATTTACATGGCTTTCATTCTGTAATAGTAGTCATTGGTTGATGGAACTGTTCCCTAACTTGTAGGCCAGTGCTTTTTGGTCTCAACATATTAAGAACAGGCTTGATGAGCCACTTCAAATTAGAACTTACTGATAGTACAATGACCTGTAAATTATTATTGCTATATGCTGAGGATAGCCTTTGAGCATTATTTCTGCGTTTTAAAGATTAAAGATGAACTACTGTAAAAGTGTACTGTGATTTCCAAACTCTCTTGTTTGAGAATTTGCAGAAATTTTCATAGTATTGTTATTATAAAGTGAATTGCCATCAAAACATGAGTGACTTTTCCAGTGATATATTGTTTGTTCAGATACATTTTCATAATGCATATTTTTAGTAGCATACTATTATAAAAATAAAAACCTTGTTTTGGTTTCATTGAAGTTTTTTGTTAATGTATTGATTATAAAATATGCTCTGAATAGAAGTAGTTTTCATTTAAAGTAGCTATTTTGTTCTTCTGCCTTTTTAAAGAGAAGTTAATGAATGATTTTGAGCATCTTTGGCATGTTTGGCAGTGTGCTATGTGCTTGGTTATTTAACTACTTACCCTCACAACAGATGATGAAACTGCTAGTAAGCAGCAGAATCTGTGTGGCTCCAAAAGGCCTTGTCTTTTCATGCTGTCTCTCAAAGTTTTGTACGGTTATTTTGAATCATTTTAATGTTACTTCTTATGTGAAATGTCAACCTTCTCTCTTTATGATATTGTATTTTTTAAACCCTATACTTGTAGAGACTTTGCAGTTTATTCCTTTGTTTTTCAAGCACCTTATGGTTTTAGAGAAAAGTAAAAACTGAAACGTTTTATAAGTGAATAATTGGATTTCTTTACCTTTTTTTCTTTCCTGGTCTTTAGTCAGTGCTGTTTGTATAAATGCCATTCTGTCCTGTGTTAGATGATAGACATCCAGTACTAGCTCAGAAGGCTCTTCTCTTGAACCTTCTTCAGGTGGTGTCCCAACGAATCAGTACTGTGGATCTTTCGTGTTACAGCCTTGAGGAAGTTCCTGAGCATCTTTTCTACAGTCAAGATATCACCTACCTCAATTTGCGACACAACTTCATGCAATTAGAAAGACCAGGGGGCCTCGACACACTCTACAAGTATGTGGAGAATAGGTTTCAGGTCAATGTGTTGGAACTATATTGTAATCAGTATCTTAGTGGTCCAGACCTCTAAGTGAGCATGCTTGTGTCCATTTCTCGTTTCTCATAACAAAATACCTAAAGTTGGGTCATATATAAAGAAAAGAGGCTTAAATCCAAGAACAGGCAGCTCTGTCAGTTCATCATCTGATGGGGGCCTCTTTGGCTGCATTACATTATGGCAGATGCCATCATGGTGGGAGCCCATGTGAGAGGGCCAGACAGGAGGCCAGAAGAGTTCAGGGGGTCAAGCTAGCTCTTTTATGATAATTCATTCCGTGTAGAAGGTAATTTACTTCATGAGAATAACATTAGTCCCTTCCAAGGGTAGCACCCCTGGTGACATTATTCCCACTAGGTCTCACTTCTTAAAGTCAACCACTTTTTAGTTCTATCACACTAGGGCCAAGTTTCTAGCATATGAAACTTTGGGGGACAAACCATGCCCAAGCCATAGCACATTTCATTATGTGTTTGTACATATATATATATGTGCATACATATTTTTTTCCCTGCAATTTCTACTCATTTTTGAAGAAAAAGCAATATTTTTCACATAATTTTCCCACCTCTGTATTCCTCCCCATAAAACAGATGGTAGATGCAAATGTTCTGTTATAGAGGCAACAATGAATTGTCATTGATTTGGATAATCTTTTTATATAAGTTATTAACAATGGTACATGAGCTGCAACCATGTTAAGTTGAGAGATTCAGTATATGAAAACTTTTGAATAAAAAATATCAAATTTAATTGATTTCAAGCAGACAGGCCTAATTTCAGGAATTCCAGAAGCAGGACTTTATCTTTCCTTTGTACCTGCTCCTGCCAACTCTGCTCAATGATGAAACCTCTCTTAGAATTCTAACAAAGGAGCCATTTCAACTCTACAGATCTATGACCTATATATTTTTCCATCTCTTTTATTAGAGTATGTCCCCTCATTCCTACATTTTACTCATCCAGCTTCATTCCTCCACTGAAAATTGGAGGGCTGAAATCTGGGTATGGTGGTTCATGCCTGTATGTAATCCCAGCTACCTGAAAGTCTGAGGCAGAAGGATCACTTCAGCTTATGAGTTTGAGACAAGCCTGGGGGATTATAGTGAGACCCCATCTGAAGAGAAACAAAACAAAACAAAACCTAAACCAAAACAAGCAAAAAATGGATAACTGTGAGTAAATATGCAGTAGAAGTGATTATATGGGTTTGGTGGGGAAGGGAGAAATTCTGATCAGAAATTCTAAAGACTGCCTTAGTAGTAGAGCCCTTGCCTAGCATGTACCATGCTGGGTTCAATCTCCAGTATTGCAGTTGCTAGATAGATATGGATTAATTAATTCTGGAGTCAAGGTACCAAATCAAAGGAATAATCAGTAATCAGGGTCATGTCATCTGGAAATCAAGTTGGGAATATGGATGAAGAGCATTGGAATGAGGTCCCAAGGATTCAGATCAAGGAACAGGTGATAGGATTTTGTCATAGAGAACACCTCAGCCTTGTCTCTTGTACTCTATAACAACAAAGTGACACTTCCATGTGACTCCTTTGGATCCACTTTATGATTATGCTATCTCTGGAAAAGCAGTCTCGATACTTTTACTCCCACAGTCAAAAATAGAAGCACTAAAAATTCATGTTGCATATCATAACACATTACAGTAAAACACTTGTTGTATATGTGTGTTCAAGCTCAACTGGCCCGTACATTTCAAGTGACATTTGAACCAACATAATTTCGGTATTAAAAAAGAAGTGTTTTTTTTTTTTTTAATTTGTAAATTTTTGGTTATAGATGACACAATACGTTTCTTTTATTTGTTTACATTTTTTATGTGGTGCTGAGAATTGAACCCAGTGCTTCACCTGCACGAGGCAAGTGCTCTGCCACTGAGCACAACCCCAGCCCAGAAGTTGTTTTTTTTTTTGATATTTTTTTTTTAGTTAGAGATGAACAAAATAACTTTATTTATTTTTTATGTGGTACTGTGGTTCACGCATGCAAGGCAAGCACTCTACCACTGAACCACAACCCCAGACCAAAAATAAGTTTTTTAGAATTGGATTTGATCTATATATTTGTTAATTATTCTTGTATCTGTGAGTTGATTAATTTTTAACCACTTTAGATTACATGTTAGAAATTTAATAACAAAATATTCCAAGTATGACTTTATACAATAGAATTGTCCAGCATGAGTTGTTCTTCAAGTTTTCTGCCTTTTGTTTGTTTGTTTTGCAGGGCTGGGGATCGAACACAGGGCCCTGCACATGCCAGGCAAGTGCTCTATCGCTGAGCTACATCCCCAGCCCTAGATTTTCTGCCTTTTATGGAAAAGAGATTCCTGTCACACTAGACCTGGTTTCCTTGATAGCATGGACTACACATTAGTCCTTTTAGTATCCTCTGCCCACATGCTTGGCATGTAGTAAGTGCTCATTAAATATTTTTGGAACAAATTCTGGGATGGACACTTAAAACAGATCATTTAAAATAGATCATGAAAGACCACTGATGTCTCTTCTAAAGATATATGACAGACTTTTTGAAATACAGTATGGATTTTTGCCTTTGCCCTTTAGATTTTCTCAACTGAAGGGCCTGAACTTGTCCCATAATAAACTTGGGTTGTTTCCTGTATTGCTGTGTGAGATTTCCACCCTGACTGAGCTCAACCTTTCCTGTAATGGGTTTCACGACCTGCCAAGTGAGATTGGCAGTCTGCTAAAGTAAGTGTCTAACTTTTGCTACATTGCTCTTTTTCTTTTAGAATAAGGAATCTGTCTGGCATTTTTGAGTGAAGGTAGAACTTTGAGTGCTGGCATTGAAATAAGTCATGAAGTTATTAGAACTCTAGTTAGCAGCAGTTTTTAATGCTGGCGATCTCTGATCTCCATGATTGCAGTAATGACCAGTCCCTGTACTTGACCAGCAGAGATCCTGACTCCAATGTCAAAGGCCCATCCTCGAAAGTAGTATCTAAGTCATCTATTAAGTTTCTGTATGTTGAGCGTTAGGAGGTTTTACCGTTTTGGGATTGATAATGAATGAAGGGCTTAAGTCAGAATTCATAACTCTAATTCTGTGCAATTGAATAAGATCTTTCCTAAAGTAGATTGTTATTTCTCCCTCCGCAGTCTTCAAACCCTCTGTCTTGATGGCAACTTTCTGACTACTTTACCTGAAGAATTGGGAAATCTGCAACAGCTTTCCTCCCTTGGAATTTCCTTCAACAACTTTAGTCAAATTCCTGAAGTTTATGAGAAACTCGTAATGGTAGATAAAGTGGTTATGGCAGGAAATTGCCTAGAAATCTTGAACTTAGGGGTGCTGAACAGGATGAGCCATATCAAGCATGTGGATTTAAGGTGAGGTCATTCTTTACCAGAGCTTCTTTATCTTGACTTCAGTGGACCTGTATGTCTTCTCTTTATAAACACTCCTTTAAAATATTGGGATTTTAGAACACTGTAGAAATATTTTCCAAGTTATAGTAAAATTTAATTTATCACCCACTAGCAGAGAGATAAAGGGTCAGATAGGTGGACCACGTGATAAGCATCAAATTGCTTTTGACAGAGGTGGTTCTCACCCTCCAGCAATATTTTATGAGAATTTTCTTTTTTTCTCATCCATATCTACATTGGATTTTTAGTAGTCTTTTTCCTTATTGTCAGTAGAAGGTGGGAAATAGTATTTTGTTATAATAAACATTTAGTTACTGGGGTGAGGTTGAATATGTTTTTTATGTGCATATTATTAGTGGTTTGTAATTTTCTGTAAATAACTATTTTTCTGTTGAGTCGTTGAATTTCTTCTTAATAGCATTGTATTATAAATGAAATGTTCAAGGCTTCACTACTAAGAAATTTTTAAATAATCTTTTCCTAAAGGAAGGTGGCAAAAGACACCTGAGTGTTCTATTATTTACAGGGAGCTATTAACATGCCTTGTAAAAATGTAGCAAAAGACAGAATTATTGAAATACAGGAAAATGAGAACAGACCCATGTGCTTTGAATTATATACTTGTATAGAAAAGAACTGAGAGGCCCTTTTTTAGAGTTTTTCTTTTTTTGGATTATGGAGGACTTTTTTTCCTGTATTTTTTATTAGTACATTATAATTATATATAATAGTGGGATTTATTGTTACATATTCATACATATACACAATGTAATAATATAATTTGGTCAGCATGGTTTCAAGGTTTCAAGTTTGCCTTTGAATCCTTCAGTATAGATACAAATTATTTTCTTCATTAGTGTCATGTCATTAGTCCTACAGCAGCGGGAGGAAGAAGAGCTGTTTTTCGACTGCTTAGCTACCATTCATTGAAAAGCATATTCATCTTCTCGTTTTTTTGCTTCCACCTAACCTTAGTAGGTATTTGGATATAAATGTTTTCCTTCTCTATATTGAATTTGTATGCGTATTTGCCAGTCTGGATTGTCTAATTTAGCTGCACCTTGAGCTCTTTGGTTATAAACCATCTATGGTTATTTCTGTACCTTGCAAAATGAGTCAAGTAGTGAAATTCCTAGTTGGTTTAGGAGGGAAAATAGGACTGTCATATTTCTTTTGGTAAGCACACTTAATAGAGTTTATTTCTAATTATTTCCTTATTTTTGAATATTAAGGATGAATTACTTGAATACCGTGGTTATTGAAAATCTGGAGGGAAATAGATACATCACACACATGGATTTGCGGGACAATCAACTGACTGACTTGGATCTTAGCTCTTTATGTAGCTTGGAACAGCTGCATTGTGAGCGGAACCAGCTGAGGGAGCTGACACTCAGTGGCTTCTCCCTTCGAACTCTGTATGCCAGTTCAAACAGTGAGTTCTCTCTCCAATCTCTTGTTTTTTTCTCTTTCTTGTGTGAACTTTCTAAGAATAATGGTGTCTGTGGTCCTCAGTCTCTGCAAAATAGAACTTGTTGAAGCTTAGCTTTATGGGTTTTTTTTCTTAATATTTATTTTTTAGTTATAGGTGGACACAATATATTGTGTTTTCATGTGCTGCTGAGGATCAAATCCAGTTCCTCATGCATGCTAGGCAAGCACTCCCACCTCTGAGCCACAATCCCAGCCTTTAGCTTTATGTTTTGTTTTTTTTTTAAATAGAGAGAGAGAGAATTTTTAAATATTTATTTATTTTTTAGTTTTCGGTGGACACAACATCTTTATTTTATTTTATGTGGTGCTGAGGATCAAACCCAGTGCCCCGCGCACCCCAGGTGAGCGCGCTACCGCTTGAGCCACATTCCCAGCCCAAGCTTTATGTTTTAACTTTGTTGTCAACACTGGTGACTGAGATGTTCATGAAAAGACATGGCAAGACTCACTACAGAAAAATAAGAAGAGGTATTTTTAAAAGTAGTGAGTGTGGACAAATATATTCAAAACCAAGTATTAGTAAGAGTGTAAAATAGGTTGGCAAACTATTGCCCAGGGGCTAACTTTGGCCCTCTCTCTCTCTCTCTGGTGGGGTTTGGGGAGTCCTGGGGACTCAAAGCCAGCTTCAGCAAAATCGAGATGCCTCCTGAGCTGCTGGGATTACAGGCATGTGCCACTGCGCTCAACCTCAATCTCTTTTTGTATAGTTCATAAACAATGGTTTGCCCAGTGGCTTGGGAGATCTTGAGTTCAGAGCCAGCCTCAGCAACTTAGCAAGGCCCTAAGCAATTCAGCGGAAACCTGTGTCAAAATAAAATATAGAAAAGGACTGGGGTTGTGGCTCAGTGATTGAATACCCCTGGGTTCAATCTCTGGTTACCGCCTTGCCAAAAAAAAAAAAAAAAGAGAGAGAGAGAGAGAGAGAGAGAGAGAGAATGGTTTAATGATTGGATTTTTAAAAATCAGAACTATACTTAATGATGGGAAAATTATATATGAAACTTAAGTGTCTATATTCATAAAGTTTTATTGGAACATAGCCACACTGATAGATTTACATATTGTTTATGCATTACTGCTTTCATATTACAGTAGCAGAATTGAGTAGTAGTGGGAGAGACTGCTACGGTCTACAAAACCTGAACTATTTACTATTAGACTTTTACAGAAAAAAAATTGCCAATTCCTGGTCTGCAAGCTTGTGCTACCTCAGTTTGAGAGTGAGAAGCCCCTTTAGGGAATTGTTCCAAGAATATTTGTAAAGGGCTTCCTATCTGTTGTTGCTATTCTTATGGAGAATTCTTATTGTAGAAGTTATAATTACTTTTTCTATGTTTAAAGAAGGAAAGGAAAAAAGTTTAATTTCACTAAATGTCAGAAAAATGCAAATTTATTTCTTTTTCTGTTTTTTAATTTTATTTTTTTAATTATATTCAGGAGGATATTTACCTTTTGATATGTGTAGTATTTTAATTCTTAAAGAGTGAAGCATACACAGTGTAATTCTTATAACACATATAGAGCACAATTTTTCATATCTTTATATAAAGTATGTTCACGCCAATTCATGTCTTTATACATGTACTTTTTTTTGCATTACAATTCTTACTACACATATATACCACAATTTTTCATATCTCTGTATATAAAGTAGGTTGACACCCAATTTGTGTCTTCATACATGTACTTTGGATAATGATGTCCATCACATTCCACCATCCTTGCTAATCCCTTGCCTCCTTCCTTTCCCTTCCTCCCTCCCCTCTTCCCTATATAGAGTTCATCTATTCATCCCATGTTCCCTCTCCCTACCCCATTGTGAGTCAGCCTCCTTATATCAGAGAAAACATTTGGCATTTGTTTTTTTGGGATTGGCTAACTTCACTTAGCATTATCTGCTCAACGCCATCTATTTACCTGCAAGTGCCATGATTTTATTCTCTTTTATTGCTGAGTAAAATTCCATTGTGTATATGTGCCACATTTTTTTAAATACATTCATCCACTGAAGGGCATCTAGGTTGGCTCCACAGTTTAGCTGTTGTGAATTGTGCTGCTATAAACATTGATGTGGCTATGTCCCTGTAGTATGCTGTTTTTAAGCCCTTTGGGTATGATCTGAGGAGAGGAATAGCTGGGTCAAATGGTGGTTCCATTCCCAGATTTCCAAGGAATCTCCATACTGCTTTCCATATTGGCTGCACCAATTTGCAGTCCCACCAGCAATGTATGAGTGTRCCTTTTTYCCCACATCCTYRCCAACACTTATTGTTGTTTGTCTTCATAATAGCTGCCATTCTGACTGAAATAAGACGATATTTTAGAGTAGATTTGCATTTCTCTGATTGCTAGAGATGATGAGCATTTTTCATATATTTAGAAAAATGCAAATTTAAATTATATGATTTTATACTCATCAAAGGAAAAAAAAAGATAATGCTGAGTATAACCGAAGATGGGCAGAATCATCTTCAAAAGCCCTTAGGTGCGGCCAGTGAGGGTCAACTCTAAAATCTTGGAGGACAGTATGACTATGTGAGAGAAGTCCAAGGTCCACATAAGCCATTCCTAGTAGTCACCTTCTTGGAATATATCCCAGATATGCTTATCTATGTACAAGGAGATGTGTACAAAAAGTTCACCACAGTGTTGTTTGTGTTATAGTGAAAGAATAGGAACAAAATAGGACTACTAATGGAAAATGAGCAAATCAGTAGTAATGTGTTTATGCAATAGAATATTGCTCAGCAATGGAAATGAATATATTGTCTTTGTGTATGAATAAATGTCAGAAACTTTTTATTTATTTATTTATTTTTTTTTAGTGCTGGGAATTGAACCCAGGAGTGCTTTACCACTGAGTTATATCCCCAGTCCTTTATATTTTTTATTTTGAGATGAGGTCTTGCTAAGTTGCTGAGGGTCTCACTAAGTTGCAGAAGCTGGCCTCAAACTTGTGATCCTTCTACCTCAACCTCCCATCTCTGGGATTACAGGTGTGTGCCACCATGCTTAGCTCTCAGAAACATTTTTGAACAAAAAAAGTGCATAATTATATGGGACTATTATAATTATTGAAATTTAAAACACAGAAATATTCCTTTTACCTATGATATAACAACATGAAAGATTCCATGGAAATGCTAAAATTTATATTCAGGAGGATATTTACCTTTTGATATGTGTAGTATTTTAATTCTTAAAGAGTGAAGCATATTAAGGCAGAGGGTAGATTTGTTGAAATTTGGATAATGGGTGAGAACATGTTCATTATTTTATTTTCTTTGCTTTTCTGTATCTGTCAATACAGATATAGGATAATAGAAAGTTAAGAATTTCTGTTTTCCTTGCCTTTTATCATGTTATAGAAGCTCTAAATTGTGGTTTCAGGTTAGTTTTCAGAATAGGGTCAAAATTGATGAGTGTTGACTCGTGCTTTATATCAATACCGTGATATGGTAGTAGGTCATTGCCATGAAGAGATTCCTTATCAGGTCCATCTGTGTCTATAATGTGTCTGGAAAGTCCAAATGCCTGGCCCTACTGCAAAAGACATTGATGTATAAGCAGTTCTTAGTTCTGGAAATTCTGTCATAGCAGTGTTCTAAATGGGGCTTATTCGAGGTTAGCCCTCTGATTAAAGAATCCTTAAATTCTACAACATGGAAGAATTCACATAAACAATTACAAAATAATTATAAAATAAAGAACCTAGCTTTACAAAAAAAGTTAGCCAGATGATCAGTTAACTTTTTTATAAAAGGCACTCAGCTTTACTAAGTATTAGGGATATGCAAATTGAAAACTCCTAGGTAATGACACTATATACCTACCAGAATGCTTAGAATGAGAGCCTGAAAATAGTGTGGCAGCTGATGAGAATGGGAATTAGTAGAGCCACTTCAGAAAACTATTCAGTAGTTTCTGACCATGTGCCTAGCATAGTGGCTCATGCTTATAATCCCAGTGGCTTAGGAGGCTAGGGCAGGAGGATGCAAGCTCAACGCCAGCCTCAGCAACTAGCGAGGCACTAACCAACTCAGTTAGACCCTGTCTCTAAAATACAAAAATAAATAAATAAGGGCTGGGGATATGGCTTAGTGGTTGAGTGCCCCTGGGTTGAATCTCCAGTACCAAAACAAAACAAAAAAACTTGAACATGTACAGTGTACCTAGGAGTTCCTTTCCTAGGTTCATACTCAAATAAGTGCTGATATTAGTTCATAAAGATATGGACAAAAATATTCATGGAACCACTGTTCATCGTTACTCTGGAAAAGACTTAAATGCCCATCATTTCTTAAGTGAGTAAATAAGTTGTAGTATATTCATTCACACACAAAAACTTCATTCAGGCAGGAGAATGAATGAATTATAACCATATGCTTCAGTATGAACAAATCTCACAAGTGTAACATGGAGTGAACAAAACCAGACCAGAAACTTAGACATACTGTATGCATTTGCTTATATAAGTAGGCCTTCTGTGGTATTCAGAGTCAGGGTAATTAATGTTGCCCTTGATGATCAGTGAGTGGAAAAGGAGGTGAGCGGATCTTTCTGGGAGCTGATAACATCATTTCTTGATCTGGGTATTGATTCAGCTTGTGAAAATTCAGTGATTTCTACACTTTAAGTTTCGAGGGAGGGGATGGCCAGCATCTCATTAAGGAGTCCTTTTTCCTTCCCAGAATAGTCCAAGATACCCTAAAACTTACAATCTTAGATAATTAGTAAGTCATAAAATAAAAATACTCAGAAATATATTTGCAGAATGCAAAGCCCCTGATAAATCTAGTCTACATGGGTTCTGGAACTAGACAAAGGGAAAAGGAAAAGGGGCTATATCAAAGGTAGGGGTAAGGTTTCAAGGGCGGAGTCTAGCTTCATGATGTCTTTCAGTCAGTAGGTTGATTGACATCTTGGTGTAGGTCACACACATCTCAGGTGCTTGTGTGGGCCATGGCAGAGCAGGAAAGAGATTCACATTGTGCTTGGGCAATTGATCAGAAGAAATGTCCACTGGCCATTCCCAGACACCAGATGTCCCTATCGACAAGGCTTCCATACGTGAAAATCCACATCCAACCCACGGATGGTTTGTGACACTTAAGATTATTCTGTATTTATGTTATACATTAATTATTAAAGTTTAGATATTGCCAGCAAAAATTCAGTTATTAATTTTTTCAAGTTAAAACACTAAGTAGTTAACATTTAATAACTGCCAGATCCATTATAAATCCAGTGCTTTACACATAGTCCTTCAATTAGTTAAAGATTTGTTTTTCAAAACAAATTGGGATCAAGCAGTTAGTCAAAATGAGCTTCCTGGTAGTTGTTATCTTTAGTCATCTCAGAAGACATCAGTTTGTTTCAGTGATTTCACTAAGCTTCTTTTCCTGTGTTTACTACAAGTTGCTTTCTTTTTCAGAGACCTTCATTAATATCTGTTTGATTTTTGATAGGACTGACTGCAGTAAATGTCTACCCGGTGCCCAGTCTCCTCACTTCTTTGGAGCTCTCCCGGTGAGTGTCTTGTGAAGGTGGGAGCATGTTTGATCCTTACGAATTAAGAGAGATGTGTGTATTCTCTAACAATTTTGAGGTACAAGAAATCTAAATATATTGAGATGTGTGGATAACCTGGAGAAAGGCAAAAGGATGAGTTAGAGGAATAAATCTAATGACTGTAGTGTATACAGTTAAAGGGAAGATCCTCTTGGAATGGAAAGGTGCCTGTTAACTATTCCTCCTTAAAGACTGTGGGTGTAGGAAGAGATAGAACAAAGGTATCCCATCATCTTCATGGTAGTGATTTTCTTTTTGTCAACTAGAATTAGGTAATTCTTGATTTTTTTTTCCATTTTTTTTGTTGGTGCATTATAGTTGTGCATAATGGTAGGATTTGTTAGTATGTATTCCATTGCATATGCACCCAATATAATGTGACCAATATCATTCCCTAGTATTTCCCCTTTCCTATCTCCCACCCCTGATCTATTGACTCTCTGAACTCCATTCTGGTGACCTCCCTTTGATTTTCATGAGACTCCCCCACTCCCATCCACATCTTTCTGAGATAAAACATACAACCCTTGGCTTATTTATCTTAACATAATGTTCTCAAGTTCCATCCATTTTCCTGCAAATGACACAATTTTCTTCTTCTTTTTTTGACTGTAATTCTTGATATTTAGATAGTGATTTGAAAAACTTTTAAAATTCTATTTTTAGTTTTTTGCTATTCTTGTTACCCATCTTGGCCTGATTTTTGGAAACAACTTTGGCGAGGACTAGTCAGGACTTCCCTACTCATGCTGGTTGGTGCCCTCTAACTATACATTAGGCTTGTATCGTTTGTTGTCTGGAATTCTCATTAGTTTTCCTTTTACCATGAGTTTCACTGTATTCTTTTATTCATTCATTTTTAACACTGTGTTAGGAATTCAGAACTCTGTTGAATTCACAGTCTAGTAGAGAGATCAACAGACAAGCAGAAACAGGGCCGCATTATAAGTGCTGTGATGCTTGAAGATGTTTCAAGAAGGCTTCAAGCAGGTTGAAGGGAAGTGGGCATGGTCCTTGTATGGTCAGAGCTGTTGCAAAGATTACATGAGATACTAGATGTAAAATACATAGTATCAGACCAAGTTTCTTTTTGTTGTTACTTTATTATTATTATTATTAACAAGCTATTATTTTAGATTCCATCCATTTCTTCCTAACAAAATCCCATGTGAGCTGGGTATGATAGTACACGCCTGTAATTCCACCTACTCAGGATGCTGAGGCAGGAGGATTACACGCTCCAGAAGACTCATCCATTCTTAGCTTCTTTCCTCTGTTCAAGGCCAGTCCGGCTATCTATAATAGGCCTCTGACCCTATCTGCTCCCACTGCTCTGTACTTGCTCTATTAGTTGCTGTCCTCCTCCTCCTATCTCATGTGTGTTCAGTGTCTTCCTTTTTCTCAGTCTTTATACACATTTATATCTCTTAATAAACAAAAAAGTTAGTTTACCTTACAGCCCATCTAACTACTTTCTATTTACTCTCATCCCCTTATGCAAATTTCTCAAGAGTTATTTGCATTTGTTGGCTCAGTTTCCTCATTGTCTGTATCCTATCCCATCAGTAGCTCACGTTAGACTTTCTTTTGTGGAAATTTTCTGTGTTGACCCTTGCTGTCTTTTCTTCAAACATACTGTTTCTTTAGCTAGTTAATACAATCTGTGTTTTTTCATGTCACATTATCTGCTGGTTCTCTGTTTTGAATATTCCTCTTCCTCAGCTAACCCTTTAAAGGTTATTCATTCCCACTGTTCTATCTTTGGTCCTCTGCACCTGTCATTTTTCAATCTCATTTACTTCAGTAATTTCAGCTATACTCAATTATTATTATCACTTAGATTTCCAGCCCAGGTTCCCTTTTCTCAGGCTCAGACCCATGTGTCCAATTTTGTGCTAGATATTTTAATGTGTACCTTCCCAGGTGCATCAGATATTTGCAAAATTAAACTCATTGTTTACCTGCCTTATCTTGTTTGGTCTTGTGTATTTTACAGATTTTGGCATTATCTTCTTCCCTTATCATTTGGGCAGAAGGYGAAAATTTTTAATTCTTCCTTCTGCTTTTTTCCTCACATCTAATTCATTTTCAGTCATTTTAATTTTTACCTCTCAAATATTTCTATAATTCCTTCTCCTCACCTTTGGTGCCCTCTAACTATATATTAGGCTTGTATTGTTTGTTGTCTGGAATTCTCATTAGTTTTCCTTTTACCAATAGAACCATGTCAGCCAGACTCCATGGTGACCGAGTTGAAGTGCAAAGCTTATGTTGTCTGTTCACTTCTTTTTTTTTTCCTTCTTCTTTTTTTTATTGGTTGTTCAAAACATTACAAAGCTCATGATATATCATCTTTCATACATTTGACTCAAGTGGGTTATGAACTCCCATTTTTACCCCAAATACAAATTGCAGAATCACATCGGTTACACACTCACATTTTTACATAATGGTATATTAGTGACTGTTGTATTCTGCTACCTTTCCTATCCCCTAGTCTGTTCACTTCTTGATGTATCCTTCAGTGATCCTGTACTTGCAGGATCAAGTCGCAGCCATTCCGACATGGTTTGGTTCTGGTTGCAGCCTCATTTTCCTGCTTTGTCTCCCGCCACTTACTGTTCCAACATCACCAGACTGCTTGTTATTCTCTTCATGTGTCACATCATTTCTTTCCTTCTCTCTGTGCTCTGGCTTATGTTGGCACCCTTGCTTGGAATGTGCTCCTCATATAAGGTCATGATAAAACATTCCTCAAATACTAACCTTATTTCCTAGAGAGCTTGCCATGGTCTATTTCAGGCAAAGTGTTGCCTTCACTAAGTTGTCTAGCAGTATCTGTGTTTCTCTTATGTATCACTTGCATCATTCTGCCTTATTGCATCAACCTGTCAATTGATAGAGACCTTGAGGCCTAGAGATACTAGGTTGCATCTGAAAACAAAACTAATATTTGAGTTGAAACTCTTCCCCCACTAGTTACTTCTTGTCCCTGCCTCCACATTATTCAGTGTGTTAATTTTCCTGGGAATTTGCTTCTTTTTTCCCCCTTCATTACCAGTGGAATTCCTACTCATCTGCAAAGATTTTAAAATTCCATTTCCACTAAATCTTTCTGCATCTCTCCCTCATCCCATCCCACTACATGTATGATTTCCTACTGTTAAAAGCTACATTACCTTCTTTAAACATGTAACAAAGTTGATCCAGTATTACTCGGTATATTCAGATACTTGTCTCTCCCCACTCTTCCAATTTAACATCATTCTCTAGATTACTTACTGTATTCCAGGTAGTTTACCAGGGGATGTCCCAGAGGATGTCCCTAAAGGGCTTGTAGGCTGGTTAACAGATACATTTTAGTCCATGAGAAGAGTTCCATTTGTCAGATTTCTATAGTTGTGACAAAATACCTGAGATAAAAAAGGAGGAAAGGTTTATCTTTGCTCACCGTTTCAGTCCATGGTTGCTTGGCCCTGTGTGGCAGAACATAACAACAGCAGTGCATGGTGGAAGAAGTTGCTCAACTTATAGGAGCCAGGAAGCAAAGAGAGAGGGAGGAAGGGGCCAGGGTCTCATTATCTCCTTCAAGGGCACACGCCCCAATGACCTAACTTCCTTCCACTAGGCCCCACCTCCTAAGGATTCCAGCACCTTCCAGTGGTGCTGCTGGGTGGTAATCAATCTTCAGCACATTGAGGATCGAAACCATAACAACTTGTCATCTTAAATGATACCATCTATTTATCTATCTATTTATTTATTTATTTACTTACTTATTTATTTAATGCAGAAACCTGTTAGAGTGTGTTCCAGACTGGGCTTGTGAAGCAAAGAAGCTGGAAATACTAGATGTGAGCTATAATCTTCTCACAGAAGTTCCTATGCGGTATGTATGCATAAGTATATATATATATATATATATATATATATATATATATATAGAGAGAGAGAGAGAGAGAGAGAGAGAGAGAGAGGGGGGAGAGAGAGAGAGGGGGGAGGGGGGGGAGGGAGGGAGGGAGATAGAGAATGTGTGTGTGTGTGTATTGTGTGTATTTAACTATTTCCCTAGATTTGGGTTAGTTCAGTTGACTTTGAGATGATGTGATGTGCAAAGAGGGATATAGTGATGGCTAATGCAAATGATAAGAAACTTAAAGGATTGTGTGACATGCATACTGATAACTGTGATCAAATGTTCAAAGATTTGCTGGTATGTGTTAGTGATATGATGGTAATAATAGTTAATTTTATAGGAAGAGTTATTATGAACTGAATAGTGTTCTAAGAACTTCACTTTTATGATCTTACCTAGTCATAAACCTTATTATAGGTACTGTCATCCTCATCTTTTAAATGAGGAGACCAAGGAGCAGTTAGGTAACTCATCTAACATATAACCAGGAAGCAATGAGAGCTGACATTTGAATGTAGTCACTTACTGCAGAGTCTCTGCTCTTTTTTTTTTTTACCCCTTCTTTTTTTGGGTGCCATGGATTGAACTCAGGGGCCCTCAACCACTGACAGGGTCTCACTGAGATGCTTAGCACCTTGCTTATGCTGAGGCTGGTTTTGAACTCACAATTCTCCTATCTCAGCCTCCCCAGCCATTGAGATTACAGGTGTGCACCACTGTGCCCTGCAAGTATCTGCTCTGATAATCATGAATCAGTATAAATTGTTTTAAAATTCAGAAGAATTAGAGAATGCTTCATGAATGTGGTATTCAAGTTGACCTTTACCAGGTGGTGGGATTTCTCTAAGTGGAAGGGAAAGAGTGGTGCTTGGCAGAATGTTGGGAGGAGTATTTTTATGTGTTCAGAAGCATCAAGATGTAAAATGTGTACTTGCAGGATCTTAAGTTAAACTAGAGCCTTTGTAGCATGGTAGGTCTGAACACAACTTCTAGAATCAGACTATAGTTCAAATCCAGACTGTATTGTTTAATATTAAATGTGAGATCTTTGGCAAAGCAAAGTCACTTAATCTTTCTGAATTTCATTATTAAATGGCCTAGCACATTTTAAGCACTTAATAGTTTTTATGGTAATGATATTTTTATTATGAATTTATTAAATTGTTATTAATATTAGTAAATATACTGAATTTTTAATATTAATAAATGCTATCTAGACTTAGAATCTAAATATATTTATTCTAGAAAATGTTTTAGTTTAGATCTCCTCTCTGTTGCTTATCTTTCTGAATTCACTCTTTCTCAGAATGAGTTTTAGTGACTTCCTTCTATTCTACATGGTGGATAATGCTCAGGCACTTGTTGGTGATTGTACAATCTAGAAGCAGTGTGTTTCTAATGATTGTTTGACTTTATTAAATAGCTCAGGACATACTTAGAAAGAAAGATATAAGTAAGTTCTTATTTGTTTCTTTGTACCATCCCCCTTAGAATTCTGAGTAGCTTGAGTCTTAGGAAACTGATGGTGGGACACAATCATGTCCACAGCCTTCCGGTGCTAGTGGAGCACATCCCTCTGGAGGTGCTGGATATCCAGCATAATGTTCTCACCAAGTTGCCGGACACCCTCTTCTCCAAGGCCTTAAAGTGAGTACCAGAGGATTTATGTTTTAAAAGAACAAAATCATTGATTGAACGCATTGCATTGATTTGTCATTGGAGTGATTTTTGGAACTGTATTTATCTGATAAATAACTGTGGGTGGAGACTTGGTTGCAGTTTTTTTTTAAATTTTTTTTTAGTTGCAGATGGACACAATATCTTTATTTTTATGTAGTGCTGAGGATCGAACTCAGTGCCTCACATGTGCGAGGCAGGCGCTCTACCATTGAGCTACAGCTCCACTGAGCTACAGCCCCAGCCCTTGGTTGCAGGGTTTTTTTTTTTTTTTTTTTTTTTTAATATTTATTTTTTAGATGTAGTTGGACACAGTGCCTTTATTTTGTTTATTTATTTTTATGTGGTGCTGAGTATCGAACCCAGGGCCTCGCACATGC